AGACGATAAACATCGAACGACTCATTGTACGAGCTCGTAATAATAATTCGATTTGTCAGCAGCGATTTCGCCCGATCTACTGATCATACAAACTCGATAAACTGGCTACCCGAAGATCCCCCCTAAGAGCAATGCTTTCACGCATCTCGACAAAGAGTTATCGACTTTTAAGTGGGCTAAGATTTGCATCTACGTGATCATTATTCTTAGCGAGGGAAACCTGTCGGTGTTTCCCGCTCACCGCTTTGAAAGTCAAAGTGCATACTGTTTCGAAGCGCTTGTCATGCGCATGATAGTTCACATCGCCCTTGTTGAATACATGTTCCACTGTCGTGAGAATCTTGCGACACGGTGTAATCGTGTAAGAAACAGTAAATGTTCGAATAAGTATGTATACAGAGATTTATTGGAATGGATATGCTTCGATAATATACCGAAGATCGGTAAACGGCCATAGGTAGATAAGTTATTTTAAAACTTGCAAATGAAATTGGTGTTTTAGTTTCGAGACCAACAATATCGATTCAGCGAAGAATAAGATACCGACATTATCGATGGTTGGTATCGGACGGAATGCAACAATAGTCACGCTGAAACTACACTGAGCTGAAACAGAATTATATACAATTAAATATTTAAAAAATATTAACGAAACGTTGAAGTAAATTTTACCAAAAATTGGATTCAATACACGAAGAATTAGAGAGAGAAAGAAGAAATAATCCTTTCTTTGCAGAAGCAATCTGTATAAAAGTACTTACTACTAGTTACACTTCTAAATTATATCTAAATCATATTTTACTAATGTAATATACTACAGATGCACTGATATGAACATCTAGTCAGGTTCGCAACCAATTAGTTCATATTACTTGCCATATAATTAATAATTATACCAGTTATACAATAAACTGATACACTGTATAGTGACATAATTGGTAGTTATATATCAAATAATATCGATTGCCCGGGTCTCACCGATGAGGAGGTGCTGTGAATGAAGATCCACCCTATCCGCGACCCACCCACCCTCTTTTTACGCAAAAAAATCTAAAATTCATTTATTACCAAACAGATATTCCTTTTGGTGTGCGTTTGCACAATATTTACAACAAACAGCAAAAGGAGCTTTAAAAAGAAAAACCAACGCGAAAACTCATAATCTGATTAGAATTCATGAAAATCTGAGATCTAAAAATTAAATTAAATCTTAATCTAATTGTAATTCTACATGGAGCATCTAATTTGTATTTAACGGGCTAATCTTTCTTTATTTTTCATTTTCATCATTGTAGTACAGCTACATTACATACAACCTGCTGATGCTCGGCCACCTTTTTGCAACTATCTTAGTTGCATTAGGTGATCCAGGAACAGGAACAGTTTTCCACTATTTCAGTGGAAGAAGTTTGGGCATTTCATAGACGCAACACTACGTATAAGAAAGCGAGCATTCGTCAACGCAACGCTAATCGGAAAAATTACTAAAACAATCGCGGCGAAATATATCGCAACGCTAATTCTTAGGAGAAATTTAACACAAAGTTAATATTCATAGATAAAAGAACAAAAATTAATATTTCAACTATACGCGATGGTCATAAGTCGCAACGCTATGAAATTAATTCAAAATTAATGTAATTTCAATTCAACTTAAAATAAAGCAAAACGTGATAAATTCAAATTCTACTCTTTAATAAATTCTAATAATTATTCATGATAGAAAACGCTAAGTCCAATCGCCATATCTGACGAAACAAAAGCAAACGCGTCTTTCAATTGCAACACTACCCAAAATCGAAATGAGTACTTTTTCAAAACTCTAATTAATAACGCGATATTTAGATTCGCAACTCTAATTGTCAACGCGAAATTTGGATTCGCAACTCTAGTACAAACCGTAATTAATCACTCGCAACGCTAATTCAAAGTCTGCGATTAGCCCAACATGGCGATGGACCGACATGTACGTCGGCTGACAGACAAATCACAAACAAATGCTACTACAAATACTAAAAGCGAGCATAGTGACAAAGTAGTAACAATAATGACTTCCCATGCTCTGGATGACCCAGAGGATGGGCAGCCATTAGTAGTTGCCCTCTTGAGTGGCAGTTTGCCGGGCCTCTTCGGCTCGTAGCCTCTTCTTTCTTCGGGCGCGATGCCCGCTGAAACTTAAATCTAAGCTCGAGACTTCTAAATCGCAAACAAAAAAAAAACTTGAAAATAAAAATATAAACCGCGGAAGCTGACTGAAGTGCACATGGACTGACCAACGATCACAGCAGTGATCGTTGCCCACTCGCATGTGCGTGCTCGAGCAATATACGTTCGTTTCGAGCCCATTCCCGACCGCGACCGCGAAATTAGAAAAATCGAAAGGCAAAACCAGAGACGAGTGCATGCTCTACTCGTGCCAGTTTCACCGTCGATTTTTCGAATGAAATTTCCTGAAACAGGCTGGACACGCGAAAACGCGCCTGCCCGACGAGAGACTGTGCCAACCTGCCCGGCCCTACCTACTTATAGTTAACACTCATACCAGAAAATATGCTACCTATCCTACCCGGAAACCTATATTTAAAATTAAAAAAGTAGCAAAACAAGCACACCAACACATTCACTCCACGGTTCTCACACATAACCCGGGCGCAAAGGCCTACACTAGAGAGACGTCCCGGGACGCCTCCGACACCCGAGTTTGACGTACAACATGCACGCTCTAAAGTTACGTACCATTTTCCTGAAATCGACTGACGAAAGCTAGCGACCATTGCGTACATCTTGGCAAAAGTAAATCTCAATTTTAGTTAGAAATATTCCTAATTCAGTGAACGTTTCTATTTCTCAAAGAAATTGTAGATGGTACGAAATGTGGTACCATTTATTATAATTCAACAATAAAATTAATGATACTAATATCTCTGATTCCCTGTATTCGGTAACGAATCTTGTTTTTACAGGTTGTGATTGAAATGATATTTGTGTGAATTTATTTTCTATCATTTGGATTTATAGCAAATACAATAAATACTGAACGACGTAATTCCACAGCCTAACATACACACTCTGTAGAAAGTACGTCGTGCACGATACGCTAATTCATCGTCAGTCGCTTACAAATCATTATAAAATCAGTGGTCATCGTACTCATTCCCTTTCTCTCACCCAAGTAGCACCTGGGCACGTGAGTAAGATCCTGGTAATGAATACGGAAGGTGTTAAACCTGAAAATACTAACTAAAAGAGATATTAGTGTATCTAATTTGTATTTAACGGGCTAATCTTTCTTTATTTTTCATTTTCGAACTTTATCTCTGTTACTATCACTGTATAGTCTAGGTTATTAATTTAATAATTTACCGAAATACTAATAGTGAATTTATTTATAGAAAACAGCACAAATAAGATCAATGCGCTATAATGATTCATTCAAATAATTGACTCTATAAATTATCGAGATTTCATTACAAAAGAGACAAATTGACAATGAATAAGAAATTTATTTAATAATTGTCTCAGAGTTAGATATTATAGCAAACAACCTCAGACAATTCCTTCGTCAAAGCACATTTTCGAAAGCGCAAAAGCAGTGTTCAAAACTTGTTGCTTTGATTCCAAAATTGGCCTGTCGCGAAATTTCTTCTTGCACATAAAATTCAATGCATTTTTGTACGGCAGGACTGAACTTTACTGTCTCTATATGTATATTTTAAATTAATATTCAAATTCAAAAATGAATGGTAAACAATTTAATCCATCGTAGTAATGCCATTAGAGAATAGAAGGTGAAATAAAAAATGACTTACTATCGTTATTATTAAATATGCAATAATTGCAATTTTTAATACAACGAAGTCGGAGGGCATCCGACTTCATCACTACGAATTATATCATTGCAATTTACGAATTTAGTTACATCATTGCAAATCTCTGTACATATACGTTTTTAGTACATTCCAACTTCCAAAGTGATTATAGTGAACATACATGCATATCTTCGATCACAAATATTCAACTTAATTGTTAATATAATATCGTTTGTATCAGTTAATACCATTATTAATATTTTTAGTATAAAATTTGTCAGTATCATGTAATCAATATAAAAAAAACGCGATGTGCAAGAAGACCTATCCTGAGCTAATAAATAGTACATAGAAAAAGAAGATGTTACTATTCACAGGTATAATAAATACCCGCGGTCACTATGCTCGCAAAAAGAAGCTACGTAATACAACCAGTCACCCGTGCCGATTCGGACCTTTCGTCCTACGACATGATTGAGTGACCAGAGGAACGAAAATGCATGCGACTCACGATAAGATGCGAGGAACGTAGTCATGGATGCTGTGATAGTTGGGGGAAAGTTGTCGTGAAGGCCGTCATCAAGGAGGAGCCATGCAATCCCACCATGGAAAAAGCTGTAACAATACATGGAATATTATAGTTTGCTATGACGTTAATTAATTGAAAAATGTGAAGTAGTGGAAGATTAATCTCTCTTAATCTCTATTAAAATTTTAATGACAATATTCAAATTAGGAGTAGCAAATTGAAATATAAGCAATAGAATTAAATGTAGTAGAGATTACAAAATTACTTACATTCTTGGCCTTTGAAGCCTCACTAGGTCCTTTTCAAGAAGCAGGAGGAAGAGGAAGGAGTGATAAACCTTCAACAAAACATATGGTGTTCTTTTACATATATGAATAATATATGCGTGAATAACTTATTTTGAAAATTAAGTAATGATTCAGCAAAAAATTTTAAATAATGTAATATGGAATTCTATGGAAACCTTAAACTTTAATAACAATAAAAAAGTTAAATTGTTAGTGAACTCTAATTACTGTAACAACTGAAACTCTGATATTAAAGTATAAAATCAGACTTGTTTTTTCATTATGAATAATTAAAGCAAACTACGCGGAATACAATTAATTAGAGTACAATATGCAATGATTCTTACACGCTTAGTTTTTGAAGTATCACTGCGGCCTTCACGAAGCACAGGAAAAAGTAGAAATTATGAAAAACTGAAACAAAACATAGGAAATATTATAATTTGTTCTTAAAAATATATCGTTCATTGTTAAAGAAGTCTAAGGTAATGAAAAATAAAACTCTATTCAAACTTGAAATATTAATAACAATAAAAATTGAAATCGTGTTAAAATCTAATTACTATAAAAATAGGAACGCTAAAGTAACGATTTTCAAACTAAGAATGATAATAATCTAATCATTTCTGAAGCAGGTTGAATACTTTTATTTTGTATTTCAATATTATAACTTTTAGATTTTATGTCAATGGAAATTAATAACAGTACGATTAAAATACGAATAAAAAAAGAAATTAATGTAGAATATACAGAAATACCTACATTCTTGAGTTTCAGGGGAGGCTGTATCCTCTTGCGAAACCTGCGACTCTACTACCGGAAGCGAATGTTTAAAAAGAAAAAAGAAGACTATTAGCGCGTCCGTTTAAGTAACAATCGACGAACATACTGACTTTAATTTCGCGTACAAGTATTGTAATTGAATGTATAATTATTAAGAGCTATTGTGCTCTAAAAATTATAAAAAATGTCGTTACGCAGCAAACACTGACTCTATCGATCGCACTACGCGCGATCACAAACATTCTCTGCAAAAAAGTTGTGTTAACAGGAAGATGGTGAGGGGGAAGGGGGCAGGGTGTTAGTTTACGAAATACTGCAGTTTCTCGAAATGTATGAACTATACATATACCGATTACTATTCATTCTTCACGAACGATATACGTGTAATATTTCAAACACTGTTTATGTATTGCGAGATATTTTCAAATATTTATTAATATTCTAAAACATAACAATTCCTTCTTCAGAAAGAATTCAGTTGTGCATGTTCGTTTTCTTAGTTTGAATTATGGTTTTTGCTAATATATTATGTTGTACTTTATAAAGATTCGACTTTGCATGTAGTAAATTAAACATGTTTGAAGTATTGAAAGTGTATATTTAACCTTGCCCAGAGGTACGTTTAAATATATATTGTTCAGACTCTCTCAAGGAAATAATATATTTTCTCATTTCAATATACAAAAATATATAATTTCGCAATAGATTGCTTTCTAATAACAATTAAATGCAATTTGCATAATTTGCTATATATTGATATAAAGACATTAATTAATTACTTAATAGTATGTTCGATTATTAACGATAATCTATATATCCGAAACATTTTTATATGTGAACAGTTTCAAATGTGATTTCTTTAACCCCTTTTTCTTTTATCTTAATATTTTCAACAAATTATGCGACTATTTATAAAATGATGTTATTATATTCCAATTGTAAGCTGCATAGCAATTATTTAGCAAATATTACTATTAATCCAATAAAAAGAGAAAATAGTCGTATACGTACGTCTGATTTGTTATAGTACCTCAATCATTACTAAATCTGCATCAGAAATCAACTGCTCCATTTATTAATAATCATCTATGACGTCCATCTTGTTTCAGTTCGAATTATCGATTGTTAATCACTTGTGGCGTCTGTGATGTGAACCCCTATTCTTTCAGTCATGTGACCAGCCAATAATCTATACAAAAGAAAACCGACAATTTCAAATAAATGTACGATAAAATCAACAATTTACAATAATGAAACCAATTATGGTGAAATAAAGTAATAATAGAACCCAAATTCTTCCTCAATGAGCGGTAATATAAACGAACTGTAACTTATCAAATACACAGTAAACGATGAAAGTAAAAGAAAATTTCGAGATACAGTTTAATTTCACTAAAATTAAAATCAATAACCGATTAAATACGAACGTATTATTTGAATGAACCAGATAGAAGCGTAGAATCATTGATAAAGTCGAAATGAAGGTACTAACAGGATAACGCTCGACGAGACGAATTTTCGTTCCACGACTTTCAGGAGTATGTTTCCTCGCGGTCCGGTTGAAACTACGACTTTCCAATATGCCGAACCAATAGCAGCGCTCAATATGACGTGACAATTTATTGTGCCAATAGGAACGCTCAATTTCATTTGACAATATTCTGCGCCAATAGGCATGCTCGATTTGACTTCGCAATATATTCCGCCAATAGGAACGCTTGATTTTCGTATACAAAAGCGCGCGCAAATTTACTATATTCAAATATTTAAATTGATGAAATTGAGAAACAGAAAACACATTTAAGACAATGTTCAGTAACAATTACGAGCAAGATTATGTACTTAATGAAAAACTTTTATATTACATGAGTATAGCTGCTACTAAACAAAATATTGTATTAGTAGGAATATCATTACGGTATATTACGTAAGTATTCATATTATTCAATTATTGATACATATATATCAATGATTCAAACATTGTAATAAATAGAAAAACGTGACCAAAATGTTAGCAATTTACAATGGTGTTTGAGAATTAATAGCGGAACTATCATAAAAAGAGAAATTTCTTTAATTGAAAAAAATTTATTATTATTATTTACATTGCTATTAATTTATGTAAAAATTGTAAAATTTTTATTATTTTAATATGATCTTATTTTAGGAAGTAAAATAAAGTCTTGTGCGTGCAAGAACATATTAGATTTATATATTTAATTATTAATTGTTGAACGATAGTATATGCTTAGAATTAAGTTATGAAAATTGATAAATTGTTATAAAATGTTATGATGAATCGCCAAAGTAGAAAATGTTTGTAAAAGAATGCCGAAAAATCAATAATTATTACAAATTGAAATATTATGTAGATTCTTTCTTTTTGGGACTCTTGACCACTGATCAACTTCATCTTTGGCTATTATAATAAAATTATGTTTGTCATAAACAGGTATCGAATACAGATTAAGATAGTTTTACGTCGAAAAGTAGTACCATAGAAATGCAAATTTAGTTTCAGCTGATAAAAAATATAAAAATTATAAAAATGGCTATTATAATAGATTGCTTGAAGGCGTCAATTTACAATAAAAACTTAAAAATGATTAAATTCGATTCTGTTATAATGAAAAAACCAACTTTTAAGATACCAACAGACCGTTAACGCTCGATTGACATTTTAGCACGTTGTCAAGTGTATGCCAGTGGTATATAAGGAACACTCTGCTCGCGCGCGAGCTCATTTGTCCTACACCTCTCGCACTCTGAACATTAACAATGAAGTGTTGCGATTTAAACTATCAACTTAAAACATTTAAACTACTAAGCTATAACATTTTAACTATTTACTAACAAAGTTTAAACCACAAATTTATAACACAAATTATTAATTTATAACATTTAAGCTATTAATTAAGAACATTTAAACTATTAATTTATAATATTTAACTTATTAATTAACAACATTTGTACTAATAATTAACAACATTTGAACTAATAATTAACAATATTTACAATAATAATTAACAACATTTAAACTATTAATTAACAACATTTGTAATACTAATAAACAACATTTAAACTATTAATTTATAAGATTTAACCTATTAATTAACAACATTTGTAATATTAATCAACAACATTTAAACTATTAATTTATAAGATTTTACCTATTAATTAACAACATTTGAACTATTATTTTGTAACATTTAAACTATTAAATTATAACATTATGTGGAATATTTGTGACCGCGCGCAATGCGGTTTGTAGAGTCAGTGTTTGCTACGCAATAGTTTCTTTCCAAAATTTTAAGATCACCATAGTTTTGATTAAAGTCGCGGAAACGTAGTTTTGCTTTATATGTTATTGAACATTCGTTTTCCGTGTTGGTGTCAGTGCAGCTCTCAAGAGGATAAAGCCTCTCCAGGAGCTGAAGAATGTAAGTAGTTTGATATATTCTATATCAATTTTTTCACTCATTTGTATTTTATTATTATTAATTACAATTATAAATTATTATTGTTAATTACAAAGTAAAAATAATCGAAGTGTTAAAATGTTAACATTAAATTGCAATAAAACTGTCTGATATGCATAAATAATCACTGAATTCTCAATCTTTTGATTTCAAATTTTTATATTACAGATTCATTTTACATACTTAGTAGAGTTTATTAGAATTTCAATTTTTATCATTAATAAAAATACAAATTTGACAAGTTCCCAATTTTTTATTATCTCCAACTTTTCAAATAAACAGCAGTCACTCATCGTGTTTTGTTCTGTAACAGATTCTTCGCAATTTCTATTTATTATTGGACTTTCAACGGTTCCTGCCTGATGTTAGTCTCCCTGATGATATTCGCTGGGATACCGCAGCATCCAGGGTAACGTCCTCTGTTTCTCCCGCAGCATCC